GGAGAGCTGAGAATTATAAATATTGTAATCTGAAAAATTAAAACTTGTTTTTACTAAATGAGTAACAACATTTGAGACTTTATTTTCTTGCTGTTGTTTTTTGCCTCTAGACTTTCAGACTGCAGTATCACAGAAGAAGGATATAAAGCTCTGGCTTCAGCTCTGAGATCAAACCCTTCACACCTGATAGAGCTGGATCTCACAGGAAATGATCCTGGACAATCAGGAGTGAAGCAGCTCAATGATTTAATACTGGATGGGCGCTATAAATTGAACACCATCAGGTGGAGAAATCTTAACATGTTTAAAAGTTGTACTTTAAAATTAACTTTCTGCAACCATGCTGCAGTGTATTTCTGTAATAAAGTGTTTCATAACAGTTTAACACAATTTAACACTGTTTACCATCTGAACCAGATGCTGTTTTTCATTACCTCAAGATTAGTTTAATTGAATCCTGCTACATCTTATCTTCTTCAGGTTTTTGGGTCCTGCTGCAGATGAAGCCTGTCAGTATGTGACTGGAATTGTGGGTAAAAACCCGTTACTCCTGAGAGAGCTGAATCTGAGTGAACATGAACTAGGAGACACACGAGTGAATCAGATCGCTGCTCTACTGCAGGATAAACACTGCAAACTCAACACACTCCAGTGAGTATTGTTAATTCATTTGAAATGTATTATTATTTTTAATAGTAATGTTACTGTAATTGTTAATAATATTTACTCACTTGTTGGATCAGAGCAGATAATATTGTTTGATATTTCATTTTCTAAATACTGGCATTGTGATTCTTTTTTAGAGGACTAAGATTAGTTGAGCCATCATATAGATTTATCCTTCTTTAGGTATTAGTTGTGTGTTGTGAATGAAATAATCTGAAGAATGTTTCCAGTCTTTTTGTTTTTTGTTTTCACTCTCACTCTCTCTTTTTCTCTGCAGGTTGAATAATAACAGTATTACAGCAGAAGGTTGTGCTGCTCTGACTTCAGCGTTTAATTCAAATCCTTCAAACCTGATAGAGCTGGATCTGAGTGGAAATAAACTAGAAACCTCAGGAATACAGAAGATCTGTCCTCTGTTTAAAAGCACAGAATGCAAATTGGAAAAACTAAAGTGTGTATTTTCATTAATGTACATTTCTACATTTGAATTTATAGTGTTAATTTGATTAGATTACCTGAAAAAAATAAAACCTGGAGGCTATAATTTCAGTTACTGTCTGCACTCACCTTCCCCAGAGTTAAATCAACTCTGCTCAGAGCACATATTGTCCCAATCTACAGAGTGTTAAAGTAACACTGAAGCGGAGTTACCACTGTTGAGGATTATGTGATACGTTTTCATGTCTAAAAGCCTGAGCAGTAGTTGTTCATCTTCAACATTAATTGATGAGTGAGCATTAGTAAAGAAAACCTGCTGTTAACAATGTTGAAGATTAACAACTACTGCTCAGGCTTTTAGACATGAAAACGTATCACATAATCCTCAACAGTGGTAACTCTGCTTCAGTGTTACTTTAACACTCTGTAGATTGGGACAATATGTACTCTGAGCAGAGTTGATTTAACTCGGGGGATTTTGCTGTGTTTGACTTAGACTAATATTCTGTCTAACATCTCCTTTTGTGTTTTGAGAAAAAAAAAAAACCCCAAGGATGAATGAATAATAACAATTTTCTTTGGGCAAATAGTTTGTTTAGTAAGATGTTAGCATTAAATCATTGGTCAATGCATGTATTTTCCTATTTTAAAATGCTATTATATTAGCATACACTTTTGCATGCTCTATGGCAATATTTTTTCTAACTTGTTGATAATTTCTCTAACTATTATTTAGCATCACAATATTGGTTTGAACTTGAAGTGTTCTTCATTTTGTTTATTTAGCACAGAACATGCAATACCTAACAGCTTCTTTCATATACAGAGTTTCAGACTGCAGTATCACTGAAGAAGGTTATCTAGCTCTGGCTTCAGCTCTGAGATCAAACCCTTCACACCTGATAGAGCTGGATCTCACAGGAAATGATCCTGGACCATCAGGAGTGAAGCAGCTCAGTGATTTACTACAGGATGGACACTATAAATTGAAGACCATCAGGTGATTAAAACCTTCAAATACTTATTAAAATTGTAAATTTCAAATAACCTTTCTGGAACCATGCTGCAACAACAATCAGTTGACAAGCTGTATCTTGTTTTGATCCAGTGTTTAATTAATCACATCATATGCCATATGGAAGATTATAACTGACAGAAACATGTATTTCTTTGCATTAGCAAGTAAAAGCCCTTTTAGTATTATTTTTAAAATGCCCCCATTCAAGTTGTGGTAAACATATGCTTTTACTGTGAGATCTTTACTGATTTTTATAAGGTAAACATAACTTTTATATTAGTAATATTTCAAGATGAACACTTACTGGGCTAAAGCAACATAAGTTTGCTTGATTATTTACACATCAGGTTTTTTTTTTTTTTTATGAAAATTATATATCAAATATGAAACATCAGGGTTTTGAGGGACGTTTATTTGTTTATCTCTGAATCCCAAAAAAACAAAACAAAACAAAAAAACCCAAAGAGCTTTGATAATACAATTTAAATATAATTTCACTAAGACACATTATTTGGACATATAGAATGACAACTGATATTTATATGTGTTTTATTAAAGTAGTCTGCTTTACTGTTATAAAGATCTCACTGACATTATATTATAAGCTTTTAACATTTTATGTTTTCTCAGTTTGGGCCTCTGAATAAAATTTTAACAACAACAACAATGTTATGTTTACACTTGCTAATATCATGTTCTCTTTAAACGACTGAAGTTTAAAAAACTGAGTAACATTTAAATTGAGCTAGGAACAACTAAAAACCAAAGGGAACCTCACACTAATACATTAACTATGGAAACATATTAGTGGGGATGATTTGTGTTTGCTGAACTCCACCCATAAGCAGGATGGGAGCAGCAAACAGTATAAAATTACAACAAGATTATCTCATCTAAAATTCTCTTCTACTTCCTGTAGGTTTTTGAAAAGTCCTGCTGCAGAGGAAGCGTGTGACTATCTTACTAAAGTACTGGGTACAAGTCCATTAGTACTGAAAGAACTGGATCTGAGTGAAGATAAATTAGGAGACCTGGATTGGGAGAAGCTCTCTGCTCTTTTGATGGACTCTCATAGCAAACTGGAGAAAATGAAGTGAGTCAACATGATTTTATAGGCAAGATTATTCATGTAGAACATGTATGCAAATTCAAAGTGCTATACAAAAAAAGTTATTAACAATTTTCATAAAAGGTGTATAAGAAATGTAAAACATATTTTAAATGAAATAAGAGAAAAATACAGAAATAAAATACTACAGTGCAATCAGTAAATCCAGTACAGTGCTCAGATAATACACTGTTAAACAGTGTTTATAGTCTGGA